GAGGGAGAGTCCCCCTCCCTACAGGAAGCCACGACCACGTGTCACGGCAGGGAAAATTGCCGCGGATCCTGTTCGTCACCCCATGCGGAGGTCGCGCACAAAAGCAAAATTTTGCAAACGGTGCTGTTCGTGAACCGAATTGTTCGTGAACAGAAGCGTTCGTGACCCGAGGTACCACTGTAATGGGAAGTTTGTGAGCAGAACTGTGAGAAATGAGACAGCTAGAACTGACCTGTTCTAACACCTCCCATGTGTTTGCAAACCAGGACGATGGAAAGTGAAGAAGGACGAAAAGCCTATCTTGTATTTCCCACCAGCAAGACCCAGGCCTTGAGTCAGAAAGGGAGGAAGGGGGCTCTGAAAGGCAATGGGAGGCGGATTGACTATCTGCTTTACAGCAAGGAAGGACTCTATCTAGAGTGGAAAGTGGTAAGCTATTTTTAATGAAAGACTTTTTTTAAAAACAGGTAAAATTTCATGTCAGCTGTAAGGAAAAGTGCTTCGTGATACAAATCTCTTCCCACCAGAAATACCGAGTAAGAAATCTACTGATTTACATTCTGATGCCTCAGTGATATAACTCAGTAGTAGAAGGGGATGAAGGGGGAATCTGATCTTTGCAGACTGATACAAATGGAGTCATGTGCCCTGAATTCAAGCAAAGATCTAAACTTAATTATCTGTTAGTGTTTACACATCCCCAATGTTCTGGTGCCAGAACAACAACAACTATCCTATTGAAATCTGTTTACATTTTGAAAGAAGTGATATATTGAAATTTATATAGAGAACATATTCAGAACTCCAGAATCTGAGGAGAAATACGGATGTGAATAATTTTGGAAGCACGCTTAACTTACATCAGAAGGTTGGGTTTTCCCATTGCAACCATAATCCTGTAGGTTTACGGCTGCAATGAACAGGCAGGATAGATACAGATATAGATGATATAAAGATTGCCACCAATTTCCTCTTTTCTTAAATAAGACAGCCAAATGCAGTAGTTAATGGAAAGGCAGGGAACAGGATCTGGAACAGGGGTCAGAATCTTCCTTCTAATCCTCTTGAATAGGATAGATGTTGTCACTGGGAACACTGTCAAAATTCAAACCTTGCAACAACATTTTCTGATGGGGGAAAGCCCACTTTAAAGCACTCAGAGCTTCTGAAAGAGTGGTCCTGTCCAATTTCAGCCATGCAATGTCTTCAGGTAAACTACAGAGCAGCCAAGACTGACCTACATTTTTCAGGCATTCAGAGAAGATGCCAGGATGGACAGGACATTTGGAGGAGGGGCAAAGCTGTGGAGAGAGGGCTCTGCAAGTTAGAAGGGCTAAAACAGAAGGCCACCTTAGGCATGAGGGCCAAAGTTCTTGTTGTTGGGTAAGAGCGCTGCACCACAAATGGAGATATTTAAGTACAAGGAAAGCTAGTTGATGTTACATTTGTTTCATTCTCTTTTTCCTTTCTTCAGACCCCCCTCCACTACTTCACTGGACTGTTGCGCAGATGTAGTGGGACATATATTTATGCTCCTTGGAGTTTTTTATATGGAAGGCAGAAAAAGTGTAATTAAAACCCTTGACTGTTTGCAGCATCCATTTTTTTTTTTAAAAAATGGCCTTGTCTGTCAAATAAAGAGCAAACTGTAGAAGGAGGTTTCAGTTTCAGCCAAAGGTCATTCAGTGGCTGGTCAGACTCAATAGAAGGGAGCCATAGGGCTACTGAAGATTATTAAGACCTACCCTTGGTTTTTATAAAAACATTTCTTTGTCATTCCCTCTGCAGGAAGTAGAAGAATTCAGTTTTATTACCCAGTTGGCAGGACTCACGGATCACCTGCCTGTTGCCATGCGTCTAATGGTTTCAACTGGAGAAGAAGATTCTTAAATAAGGAAGGGTTGTCACTTTTTCTTCAAGAGCTTAGAAGAGGGAACTTCCAAACTTGTGACCAAGACGCAAGAGTGGTCTTTTCTGGTGCCCCCATGCCTCTAAACCCCTCAGGACGGACCAGGCTGGATTCCAATTGATTTTTCTACATACAAAACCCACTTGGAGGATGTTGAAAAAGGAAACAGAGGCATATGTGAACACGTATGGGGAGTTGGATGAGATGAAGGTCAATTCTATTGACAAGTGTCACAAGTTGCCCCAGCAACCAGGCAGGCCTATATTTCTATACTTTCACTGTGGACTTAAAGGAACCAAGATAGAAGTCCCAATTCCTTTGAATCAGTGCCATTCTTAAATAATCTATGTACACCCACCCCCACACATACACCCCCACACATATATATCTATATATAGAGATAGCAATATATATAGGTATATACGGATATATAGCACAATTTAGTTTGTAATCAGTCTGTTTGTGCTGCTCCAGAAGTGAGTTTTTGCATTATTTCTTCAGATATCCTTAAAAAGCTAATGCTCTCTTTCTTTCTTTCTTTCTTTCTTTCTTTCTTTCTTTCTTTCTTTCTTTCTTTCTTTCTCTCTCTCTCTCTCTCTCTTTCTTTCTCTTTCCTCCCTCCCTCCCTCCCTCCTTTTTCTCTCTCTCTTAATTTTTTTAGCCTTGTAAAGTTGTAGCAGCATGCCTGGATCGGAAGCATGCGTTTGCATTGCATGCCACT